TTTAATATGATTCCTTTACGTATAAGTTCCTCAAGGCAAGACCTCAAAATTTCGTAACGAACATGAAGGGTCGGAGGGCCAACATATGCTTTAATATCAGCTCGATCGACAAATGCAACATCTGCAAGAAGCGTGTGGCTGATCAAGTTATATTAAGACTTGTGATTCCAGAGCATTCTTCACTCTCACATGAATTCCAAAACATTAACAGAAGGATGGCCACAAAATGGACAACCAGCTTACCAATAGCAGTAGTTATGTTTGATGTTGTGAGGATTATCACATTCGGTGAAGATTTCAATTTGTCCATTTGGGTAAGTAGTGCATTCACAACCTGGGTCGTGTATGTCAAAGACGATGTCAGTCTTCAAACATTATATTGCAATTCCACAAATAGTAGATCTTTACACTATGAAAGTAAAATTAGAAGTAAGTTGGAATACCCGGATAGAATCTGAAGGTTCTGAACCAGACAATGCAGCTTTCCGAGCTGCAGCAAGACTTTCAACTTCATCTGCAGACAAAACAATCTCAGACCAAAAGGGAGAAGGAAGCCTATGCAAGTATCAAGAGCTATGGCATTATGATGCTCACCAATCAAAACAAATACAAGGTTGTTATCTTCCTCTACCATCTCTTGAATTTTTTGGAAAAGCTTAGCAACCTGGATTATAGAATTAGCAGATGTAGTTAGAAAGATGCTATACCCTAGTACAGTTTCTGTACAAGCACAAATGATCGCTACACAACAGAGATGGCGAAAATGGTGATATTGATACAAGATCAACTTCTTAGACATAATACAACATTCCCCATTAAGAACTCTTTGGTTGTTCCAACCTAATATGTGCATGATAGAAACTAGCAATTGAGAACAGTGGCTAACAACAATTACGTATATATATGCTATTACTAAGTAGCACAAACACATCCCATTTTGTCCAATGAAACTAATTTCCTGCTAACCATTACTAACTAGTTGTCAGTTGTTTCTCTACTATAAGATTTTCCAGTATAAAATGAAGTTGTTCTATGGAACAGTCTAGAAATAAAATTGTTCTAGTGTTATCTTTGGAAAGGATGCAACTGTGCTGATCGCGAAAAGAGGAAGATCTAAGAGTTTGCCTACATCGACTATGGCCTGAGCAATAAGTTAGCCACAAAACGGGATGAAGTTGATTCCAGGAACCCATAAAATAATATTAGCATGTCCGACGAACTGATGTTTAAATGCATGACCAAGGAAGAAGCAAGAACATATAAAACAGAGGTGATTTTTTGTTCATACCAGCTTGCCACTCTCGGAGAACCATTTACTAAATAATGAGTGAGCATTGACCTCGACCAGTTGGCAATGTGGATATCTGACAAAGGAAATGGAATCAGAAGCAAAACAGAAATATAATCAATGTGACAATCCAAAAACAAGTTTAAACAATATGAAAGTCCATAAACGAGTCGACTCTAAGAAAAGAACCTGGAGTTGCACCGAATTGATAGCTTTTGAGCTAAGGCTTTGCATAGAGATGTTTTGCCAGTCCCTGGTGGTCCGTGCAGCAGAATAATGCTGCATGGAAATTCAACAGCTGTAACCCGGTGCTCTTATATAAAATTTTGATGTGGGACATCAATAAATGACTAGAATCAGACAAAGATGACCACATACTAAGATATAAACATTTTCAGCTTGCTAGGCATCTTAATTTCTGAAGTTCTTTAGAGTAGCTTCTTAGAGTAGAAGAAAAACAGACACACAAGTAAGAACCACAGTATGGAATTTCTCGGTATAGCACCATACAGAAAATTCTACCAATTGTTTCTTACCGGTTCCATGATACAAGATTTGGATCTACACCTTTCTGCGTGAACAGCAATGCACTGGCAGCATATCTTAGTAATCGTTGCTTGAGTCCTGATTCATATATTAGGCTGCACAAGCAAAAGACTCTGACTGCTAAATAACTTGCTCAAGACCCGTCACAACTTGGAAAGTGATTGAGGCCAAACTTTGACACAGACCTTTCCCACAAGCCATTAAACTCTTTCGCAGGAAGAATCCATTCATTGAAACTAGCCATTTGCCCATCTCCACTCAATTCCTCACATGGTCCTTCCTCAATTAGCTGGATTTAGATCATCATTAAATCAAATGTACAGATGATACCCAGATAGCAGCAGTACCTACTCAAATCAATCAAGACAAGAGTTACCTGGAAGACATGGACAACCGGCTTTACTTGCCAGAACAACAGAACATCATTGTTTTTCACCCATTCCTCTAGAAACAAGGGCACAACTCCAACATCAACAACACCGAAACCCTAAAAACAAATTGAAAGTTTTAATTGAGATCGTACCCGTATCACAAATGCATATCTTTTGCACGTTTTCCAGAAGAAATGAATCATCCGAGGGAATCAGGACCGGCCCATCGACATAGCTCATGCTCCTCTTCTCCAACATCCTGCATCAGATCCAAATTAACCCATTGTCGACAAACAAGAGAAGAAGGCACCCGAACAAGAGTATTTACATACCGTTCCACAGCTCTTCGTACATCTTCAAATCGAGCTGTGCTCGAAGGTTTTAAGCAGACTTCGACTATGAAGAAGATAAACCCCACAAACACAAAACGCAAAAACACAAACCAGAGAAAGGCGTAAGGGGAAGAATCACAGAAATCGGAGCTTGGGAGCTGGGGAAACGAGTTGGGAAAAGCATTGCTGTACCAGATACGAGAAATTTATGTTCGTGTAGGCATGGCAATGGAGGATTTGTTGCAAGGCTTGGCTCAGCGACGCCATTCTGGTCGGTGAAAGACACTGATTCAGAAGGGTTTTGATGAGAGATTTCCAGTGAATGATTCTGAAGGTTACTAATCATCTCCTCTGACGTAGGGTTTTGGAGTGAGAGCTCCATGGGAGTGCTCATGCCGGTCAATTGAGAGGGAGAGTAAGAGAGAGACCTAAAGGCTTGAAATTTTCAATTTGGGGATTTATGTTCCTTCAGGAAATGGGCGGGAAACGGAATCACATTTTCTGTTCTGTTCGTAATTCATATGGATATGGGCAAAGCGCTTCTTTTTTTTTTTCAATTGCTAAGGTTCAAATAAAAAACCCAATTTTTTTTATATAATCTATTTTTTTTCGTTACAATTTAGAGTTTATAGTTTGAATGTCCACAATCTAAAGTTTTCATTAGATTCTTCCAATTTTGGGTTTAGCACATGAATCGGGAATATTACTCAAATAACCCACTTGGGTCGCAGCAATTTCAGTGTACACCACCGAAAAAAAAAAAAAAATTTGCGACCTTATTACGACTAATATATAACTAATATACAACTAAAATAAGAGTAGTTTATTAGTCGTAATAAGTTGTATATTAGTTATATATTAGTCGTAATAAGGTCGCAAATTTTTTTTTTTTTTCGGTGGTGTACCCTGAAATTGCTGCGACCCAAGTGGGTTATTAGGGTTAAAACCCCACATGAATCAGCGCTATCACATTCAACAACATGGATTTATTAAAATGGGTTAAATGCAAATTATTTGTCAAGTTAATTCTACTGTGAACATTTCGATTCAGTTTTTCGGAACCCTACCAAAAACTACGATATTTTTCTTGAACCGTTCTAAACTGTCAAATGATATTATTTTTAAAAAATCAAATTTTTCGTAACCGAGTCAAACCGAACCGAATTTTAAAAAATCTCAAGAAACCGAATTTTTTAAAAGAAAATCTATATTTTTTTAATAAAAACCGGAACTGAACCGAACCCGAAACTGAATCGAATATAATAGAAAAACCGATTGGTATTTATTTTTATAAAACCGAAAAAATTTAACCGATGCATTTCATCCCGAATCCGAACTAATTCTCAAAACGCTTTAATCCTACGGATATTTCCCCCCTTTTTTGTCACATTTGTTTTGAACTTTTATCGCATTTTCTTTTACATTTTTAGGCTTTGTTCCTTTTAATTTTATTTTTTCTGAAATTTATTGCTTATTCTTGCCAATTTTCATTTTCCAAAAATTTCACGTTTTTTTTTCCATTTTAGTATGCGTTTTTCCTTTCAATTACCTATTCCGTTACTCTTTTTTCCCACAAATTATTCATTTGTTTTTATATTAAGTTTGCATTTTATTTTTTCAGATTCATTTATCGGCCTCCTTCTTCCATTCTATAGTAATTTTGTTCACTCTACTTTTATTTATGTTCCAATTTCTTATGACAAATTTTAAAAAATTTCATATACAATTTCCTCCTCATTGTTTTCTTTTGGAAAAATCCAGTACCCAACTTTGTAAAATATATCAAACAAATAATTTAATTTTTAATTTTATCTAATTAATATCTCAAATATTAAAATTTTTTAAATTGATATATCAAATATTGTTAATAGTCTAATTTACGAAATCGAGAGCAATTTAAAACTTTAATTTGTTTTTTATATTGGAATTAACATCTAATAGTTAAAGTCGAGATTGAAAATTATTGTCGATTTAGTGAGTTTTGTTTTTTATGTTAGAAATTAACGTATAATTTTATATATTTGTTAGAATCGATGTCATAAATTATAATCTATTTTATGAGTTAAGATATCTATGTGAAATATTTAATATTTGAAATATTAATTTAGAATATTTTGACAATTGATCTATCAATTAGATAAATTGTAAAAAATTGTTTATTTATTTGGTATATTTTATGTTAGGGTACTTATATAAAATTTTCTTCTTCTTTTTTTACTTTTTCTAATTTTCTCTTTCTTCTCCACCTTTTAGCATAAATGACAATTTCGACAACAAATTAAACCACACATTAAAATAAAGTCCACCCCCTTCGGTCCCTCCCTCTTCTTCTGAGTTGTTCGTTTCGGACAACAAACTAAAGGCTCACATTTTAGTTTTTACACAAGATACCGACAAAACACCAACTTACCCCTAAACCCACTTTCCCGTAATCCACAAACACAAACAAGGACGAGAACCAAGAACCAGAAACCATGAAGAGGAACAACAGAAAACACAAATCTAAATCAGGAGGAGAAGATCAAGAACAAGAACAGAAGAGACTCGAAGTCGTGAAAGCAGTGGCACAAGCTTGGCTCAGTCGCTCTAACACGACGACAACCTCTTCGTGCTGGGAGTTCGGAGCTCAGAGAAGGTACGGTTTCATCAGAGACAAGCCTTCGCGTTTCAAGATAGAGGCGTTATCGATAACGGCGGGCGTTGATACGGACGATCACCGCTACCGTTATCCGACGGGTTCTCGTTGGGATTTCGGGCAATCTCTGTGGGATTCGTACGAGATTGTCGCAGTTTCGAAGAAGTTGGAACGAGGGCTCGCGTTAGAAAACGCGTTTTCGGGTTTCGTAGGGGACAACGATGACGGGGAATGGAGCAGATTGATAGGGCTGAAGAAGAAGAAGAAGAAGACGAAGGGGGAAGAGAGTAGAAATAGTCTTAGGAGTTTGTTCTATCGTGCTTGTTCGAGGAGGTTCAATAACGTTGATGTGAATAGTCCGGAAAGTTAAAATTCAGTAAATAAAAATATTCTATCCGTTTTTACACAATACAATTAATTATATGTTGCTTAGGGATTTTCATAATTTCTAAGAAATTGTATATAATAATATCCCGATGTCACAAGAGGATTTTTTTTTTTTGTCTTTTAAAAAATTTAAATTATTTCAGAAACAGGAAGTAGACTCCCAAAATACAATCAAGCCCAATTTCTCCATTTGAAATCCAAGTTGAAGAACGTGCGGTTAAATCATATTTAAACCTGCAATTGAAGTTGGCCTTAAACTACTGCTTAATTATATTACAAAAAAACCAAGAAAAAAAAGAAAAACTATTAATGTTTTAATTTATTATTATTTTTACAAATATATAAATAAGTTGAACTAAAGATACAAACAAATATTGATAACAATGAGATTCAGTCATTAATCTCAAGGGAGACAGAGGGAGTTAGGAGAACAAAAAGGTACGGATTAATTTTATACAATAATGGATTAATTTTATGAAAAAAAGAAAGAAAATTTAACATCCTTCGAAGAACACAATAAACACAAACCACATGGTTCATATACTAAAACCAAGCCTTGTCTTATTTTGTACACAGATAGCAATAGCATCGCATCAGAAACTGCAGAAAGAAAAAACCAGACGACAAAGACACTGTAGATAGAGAGAGAGAGAGAGAGAGAGAGAGAGAGAGAGAGAGGCTTATTTATCAAACATATCTTTTAGACAAAGGCAAGAGACTTGTGAGCGTTCCTGACAAAAGTTCAAGCCTTGTCGCCTGTCAGAAGATCCATCACCGCCCGCATGATGCTTCCGTTGTTCTTCTCCAGCAGTCTCTTGTTCGTCTCACTGTCACGAAATCCCTGCAACAACAGAAAATCCCGGTTGAATCGAAAGATTTCGTTTTGGTTTCTCAAACCGTGATATGTCACGACAGACGTACCATCTCCCGGAGTTCTTCGAGGATCGGATCCCACTCCGAGACTCCACAAAGGGCATCGACCGACTGCTCCAGGTTGTACTTGTTCTGCCTCAAGACCTCCTTGTTCAGATCGGTTTCCTTGAAACCCATCTCCTCGAGTTCCTTGAGCAGGCCTTGCTCCACCTCATTCTTCCCGTCGAGTTCCTCGAGCAGTGCTCGCTCAGCATCATTCGATTCCTCGTGCTTTGTAGAGGAACCTCCGAGTGATCCCTCAGCAGGGGCTGCAGGCTCTGTGAGGTCGATGATGTGATGTGCAGAAGACGAGGGATCAAGTTTACGAGGAGAAACGGGACGAGCTTCTCCAATCAGCAAGTCCTCCTTTTCAACGGCTTTGGATTCTTCAACTTTCGGTTTCAAATCAGCAACGGGTGTGACGGTTTCCAGAACAGGGCCGTCATATTGATCAGGCTCGTTACGTGGTTCAAACTCTTTCAAGCTACCTTCATCAGGAGAAGCGTTTAAGTTCAATCCATGGAACACGTTCACAACAGAGTCCTTCAAGGATGCATCAACCTGTATGTATTCACATTGAAATGATCAAGTAAAGAAATTTGACACAGGAGAAATGAATCTTCATGGAAAGAAGAAGAATTCGAGAAAAAAAAAGCTAGAGGGCGTTGCTATTTTACATGGATCAGAACCCAAACACGTTGTCCAAATTTAGCACCAGAACTGGAAGCCATTCTCCAATAAGAAGTGTACCGACCCGGCGACTCAGGTGCAACGAAATCAACTGCAACATTGAGCTCACCGTCAACCCCCACGCCCTGCTCCGGGATCTGCTACAATAGAAAAAGATCAATTAAAGAATTTGCAAAACTTCTTCAAAATCTAAAACCACATGATGAAACAAAAAAAAAAGAAAACAAATAGCAATAAAAAAACGATATTTTTCCAACCTCTAGATCAACTGAGAGTGAGTTGCTAAACATGTCTCCACCAATCCAGACTAACTGTGTGCCGCGAGGCCACACCAAAGAACCATTGTTCCTCATACGCCACAGCTTAGTGAACGGAGTGGACGGAGCCATTGCAGTCCCGTCGAATACATTCACATCGAGGACGAAACGGCTGTCTAGCTTAGGCCGACCCAACTTCAGATGTAACTCTCCCGGGTTGAGTGGCGGAACTGGCAGAGTGCGGGTAAACAAAGTGTTCAGAGCCTATACAGATCAAGAAAAGATGAGGACTTCCACGTCATTTGTAGTGTCAGAAAGTCTTAAAGACAATGTGAAGGCACTGATACGTACAGGAGCAAACGGTTCTCTGGCTTTATGTAGAGGTTGAACTGAAACAGGCCTGTCCATCCTGATGTAATCCCTCTCATTACCCATCTGTGAGAAGCAGATGCTGCAGAGATCATAATCTTCTTTCCTGAAAAACATTGTCCGAAGAAAGGGGAAAAAGTCGATATGGTCAAGAACATTATCTGCTAATAACTAATTCCTACAATTTCAAGAACAATATATAGTCCTTACACTTTAGACTTGAATCTAGGGCCAGTGATTGGAAGAACCCCACAGCCGTCGCAGCGGATGCCCTTATGGAACATACCCAATGAGGTCCAGAAATCACTGTCGTTGCTCTTCTTGGAATGGCAAGTGCGACGACGATGTTTGTTAAACAGATTTGGGCTGTTATCGCTTTTCACAGGAGCACAACTAAAGGGACATTCATTGAAACTAGCACCCGGAACAGAGGGGACGAATGCATGATTGGTGATCTTTGGAGGGACAGCAGGTGCAGATGGATTAAAGGGTTTCCTCTTGTTCTGTGTCTCCTTAGTAACATAGTTCTGCTCACTAGAGGAAGGAGCTTTCAAATCACAAGGAGGCTCCGAATTCAGATCAGCCACAGCTGCCTTAGTTGGCACCTCCTTGCCTGAGGAAGGACCACAAGTTGCGGACGTTGATGGCAACCCCCCTCCATCTCCAGACACGTTCTGAGCAATCAGTGAGGAAGGGCTACTTTCCTGATTTTTATCTTAGGGAGGGTCTCCAAATAAAAAAAAAATTGTTGGATTTATTATTCTAACCATTTATTTTATTTGGGATATTATTCATACATAAACATTTTGCTCCCTAGAATTATAGTCTCTTCGTATTTCATTTTTTTCTTGGAATTATTGTTTGTCATATACGATTAATTTTTTTTATCATAAATAAATTACAATTTAATTTCTTAAAATGTATGAGTTTAACACCTTTAAATAACAGTTATAATATTATATTAATTAATACTATAAGTATATCATTGATTGGAAATAGGAAAAGATTTAAAAAATAATAAAATTTATAAATTTTTGGAGTTTATAAAAATAGATTTTATTCCGATATATGGATAATTTTAGTTTTTTTATTAGATTGTGTTAAATAATGGTTTTTTTGTAGATTGTCTAAAAATTATCATGGTGGCACATTTAATCAAGAAACATTTTTGGATTTTTGTTAGAAAAGTAAACTCTTTTGGCTATTTTCTATATATACATATAAACAAAATTAAATAAATATCATATTTTAGTGTTGTGAATTTGGATAAACATGGATCCATCAAGTGTGACATCAAGAAGTAGCCAAATATCAAAAATGGACCAAACTTGTGCGCATGCTCTTACTCATTTTTCAACCCCTTCATCATAGATAGTGGTCTTATACCTATTTTCTTTTTGCTAAAAAATAAATGCCAAATCCATAAAAAAAAATGTTCAATTGGTCCAAATTGGTGTCTTCCATGTCATAAATTCCGAAATTTATTGGTTTGAATTTATAAAACATATTGGAATTTTTAATTAGATTATCCAAATCCTAACATATTAGTTGAACCATATATTTGAATGAAATATCACACACATACATACATACATACATACATACATACATATATATATATTAGAATTTCTAACTCTAAAAATATAATATAACATGAAAGAATGACGTCATTTATATAGATATTACAAGTAATACAAATGCAAACTTTTAGCAATAAAAAAGCGAGATATAATATATATATATATATAATAAATAATTCCGGATAAATATTTATTGGAAAGGAATATAAATACATTGTACCGAACACATGCAGTCGACAACAAAGTACAATCGGAACGCAAAAGTGAACACATACCCACGTTTCTTTGTAAATTTCAATGAATATTTGGGGATTCAGCCATTGTTTCTTATTATTATCACCACTTTCGCATTCTGAGATTCTCAAGAAAGAAAATAAGCCAAATCGTGTTTTTTTCCATCTTACTCAGACGCATTGCTCTGTTCATTTACCGTGAAGTGACGACACAGCACAATGGGATTCTTCAAAGCATCTCTGTTCATAATCATACTCTCAGTTCTCAATCATGGCCATGGCTCAAGTGAAATCTCTTTCTGGCTACTGAAGATTCGGTCTGAATTCATCGATTCAAATGGAGTTCTCAGCAACTGGTCTCCTGATTCAGACGCATGCATCTGGAACGGCGTAACATGTTCGGATGATGGTGTTAGTGTCGCTGCCTTGAACTTGTCTGGTTCCTGCCTGTCTGGTTCCATCTCTAGAGAGTTCCAGCACCTCGTTTCTCTTCGACTTCTCGATCTTTCGTCGAATTCGTTAACCGGGTTCATCCCTTCCGAGCTTGGCCGGCTTCAGAATCTCCAAAGTTTGTTCCTTTTTTCGAATTCTCTCTCGGGTGGAGTCCCTGCGGAGATCGGTCTCTTGAAGAATCTGCAGGTTCTTAGACTGGGAGATAATATGCTGCGGGGAGAGATACCGCAGCATATCGGTGATCTCTCCGAGCTGAGAGTTCTCGGACTCGGATACTGCGAGTTGAACGGAAGCATACCGGGTGAGATCGGACGATTGAAGAATCTTGAGATTCTTGATTTGCAGAGTAACGATTTATCTGGTCGGATTCCGGATGAGATTCAGAGCTGCGAAGTTCTTCGTGTCATTGTTTTATCAAACAATGGGCTTGAAGGAAGTATTTCCACTTCTTTCGGGTCGATCGAGTCGTTGGAGATACTCAACTTGGCTAATAACAGCTTCTCGGGTTCGGTTCCTTGGCAGCTAAGCAACCTAACCGGTTTGAAGTATCTGAACTTAGCCGGGAACAGATTAACCGGAGAGATCCCGGTGGAAATCAACGGTTTGGTCGGCCTCGACACTCTCGACTTGTCGGATAATGAACTTTCAGGTACCATAAGGATTCTGAGCAGTAGATTGACAAACCTCAGGAGCCTGATTCTTTCACGCAACGCATTGACCGGCGACATTCCCTCGGCTTCTGCGCGAAGAACTCGAACCTCGAGCAGTTCTTCGCATCAGAGAATCATCTCTGGGGCGAGTTTCCTCTGGAGATTCTGAACTGCACCTCATTGCTTCAACTAGACCTTTCCGACAACAACTTCAGAGGAGGAATACCTCCGAGCATCGACCGATTTCTGAGCCTTACTGATCTTCTCCTCAACAACAATAGCTTTACCGGGAATCTCCCGAGGGAAATCGGGAACCTGACAAGCCTCGAGAGTCTTTATCTCTTCGATAACATGTTACACGGTTCAGTCCCTCGTGAGATCGGGAAGCTGCAGAATCTGAAAACTATTTACCTTTACGATAACCAGTTTTCGGGGCAGATTCCAGAGGAATTGACAAACTGCTCAAGCTTGACAGAGGTTGATTTCTTTGGAAACCATTTCTCGGGTCCGATTCCCGCGAGTGTAGGAAACCTCAAGAACTTAGTTCTGCTTCAGTTGAGACAAAACGAGATCTCGGGCGAAATCCCTTCAAGCTTAGGTCACTGCAGTAGGCTTCAGCAGCTTGCGTTAGCCGATAACAAGCTATCAGGTTTGCTGCCACTCACATTCAAGTTCCTCTTGGAACTAAGCACGATCACTCTTTATAATAACTCTCTCGAGGGCCCTCTCCCGAGCTCTCTATTCCTTCTCAAGAACCTCAAGATCATCAATTTTTCTCATAATCGCCTTTCCGGGTCTGTTTATCCTCTTACCGGTTCGACTTCACTTACTGCACTAGACCTGACAAACAACAGTTTCGAGGGTTCGATCCCTCCGAGGATTTCCATGTCCAGAAACTTAACCCGTCTTCGCCTTGCTCTTAACCACCTGACTGGTGAAATTCCTTATGATTTCAGCCAACTTGTTCAACTCAAGTTCCTTGATTTATCCTCCAATAAACTCACTGGAGAATTCTCGCTTCAGCTCAAGAACTGCACTAAGCTTGAGCATATATTACTTAACGGGAACCGATTCACCGGGAAACTGCCCGTCTGGTTAGGGAGTTTACAGCAGCTCGGAGAACTGGATCTCTCTTTCAACAGATTCCATGGGATAATTCCTCAAGAAGTCGGCAATTGTTCAGCATTGCTGAAGCTAAATCTCCATTCGAACATTCTTTCTGGTGAAATCCCACCAGAGATCGGGAATCTGCAGTCCCTCAACGTACTCAACCTACAAAGAAACAATCTCTCGGGCTCTATACCGGCTACAATCCAGCGATGCAAGAAACTATATGAGCTAAGACTCTCGGAGAATGCACTGACCGGTTCTATACCCATCGAGCTCGGTGATTTGACAGAACTTCAAGTGATTCTCGACTTAAGCAAGAACCATCTCTCGGACAAGATCCCTTCTTCCCTCGGAAACCTCCTCAAGTTAGAAAGATTGAATCTTTCCTGCAATCTCCTCCAAGGGGAAGTGCCATCTTCTCTAAGTAAGCTCACAAGCCTCCATATGCTAAACGTTTCGAGTAACCGTCTGAAGGGCAAGCTTCCTTCGTTATTTTCCACGTTCCCGGTCAGCTCTTTCCTTGGAAACAGCAAGCTGTGCGGCCCTCCATTGGCGAAATGTCGAGGTTTGTCGGGAAAGGAGAAGCAGAGACTGACAGAAACTGAAGTGGCACTGGTCATTGTAGCAATCGTGTTCACATCAAGCGTGATATGCCTAGCAATGCTCTATGCAATGCTGAGAATGTGGATCAATTGGAGAGAATCTTCGGTTTTGGACGAAGGAAACGATCGAGAAAAGAAGACGGAATATGTTGGAGAGTACAGAAAAGCGAATTCCTCTTCGTCATTATCATCTACTTCTCCCATGGTTATCTCCTCGCCGCCGCCACCACCGAAAAAAGACGAACACTTTTCTCTCGGCAGAGGCTTTTCCATCTTATGGTGGGCTCAAAATCCAAAAGGGTTGCAGAAATGAACAATCTTTTATGCTGATTGTAAATTTTAGTTTCATCTAATGAGCGAAAATATCCGAGGTTTGAGTTTATCGTATTGCCCTGATCGGCTACCGAGTTTTCTCGATTGATACATCGATGGAATCTTTGTTAAATCATGTTCTGTTTCAGCTCCTTTGTCTTCTCCATCATCCGCAGCAAGATCGATTCAGAGAGAAATTGATGGATTGGAATGAGGTTTGCTTGCTGGTCAAGAAACAATGGTTCGCTTTCCACAATCACTAGCAGTGACACGTTCAAAGTAGGGATGCAAAACCGTCCGACTCGGTCCGAGTGAGTGCGTTTTGGGTTCGATTCGGTTGCGACCCATTTTTTACGAGTCAGAAAAAAAAATTGTTCGACCCAAATCGCTTCAACTCGCCGACCGTTCGCGAATATAAAAAAAATAAAATGTTTTAAAAAAAATATAAAAATATTTAAAATAATATTTAAAAAAGTTAAAAATAATTAAAAAATGGAAAAAAAAAATCGAGTTAGAGATAGGTTACCTTGTCGGATCCGTTTTATTCGAGCTCATATTTTTTCATTCTAACTCGATATATAGCCAAGCCGATTCGCGGAGATTGTAATATTTGGCATAATTTTATAGGATTTTTTATTTAAAAATTATGCGTAAAATGACAGACCGAAGCCGAGTCAAGGTTACATTTTTATTTGGCGTTTCAAAGACGGTCCACGTACCCTTCAACACGTTTTCTCGACGAACTTTCACTCGATCGGGGCCAATTTGGCAGTACGAAACATCTTTCTCACTTGGCAACATCCCCATATTTCATTATGAATTTTCATATAAAATTACGCTCATCAATTGTTGAGTTATATAATTCTTATTAATTATCTCTAATTATAAATATCTATATAAACCAAAAATGGTGTCACCTGTAGACTCAAGAAATGTGAAACATTTTGATCTTGTATCATTCTTCCTATATACCAGTTAAATTATTATTATTATTATTATTATCCGAAGTATGTTGTCATATTCATATGAAAATGATATATGAAAGCATATGTTAATGTTAATCAAAAAAATGCCCATGAAGGGGATCTCCCCCAGCTCTGTTGGTTTGAGAGCTCACTTCCTGAATAAGAGGTCGTGGGTTCAACACCCAGGGTATGGAGATTTCCCCTCCGGCCACCTTCGGGTGCTTCACATCCCACACGTGTGGTGCCGGTTGTGCGTGTGGGTCGGGATTAGTCTGAACCCTCTGGGCCTGGGATTACCCGGTTATCAAAAAAAAAATGCCCATGAAGTCATATACGTAGCCATTTTTCATTTTTGGTTGATTTTCTGACGTGGCAACTCTCATGGCGCCTATTTTGATTTTCCAAATGTCACGTGAAACCATCAACTGTTAATAACAAATTTTGACAATTAAAAAAAAAAGATCTGGTTATTGTGAAGATAATTCATGTATTATATAACCTATAAAGAGTTTACGTTATGGTTTTCATAGTTTGATGATGGAATTCGCGTTCGTTTATTAATACGACGGTCGATCAAAGAATATAACGACGGACATTAGGTTATACAAAGAACTGCATGCAATGCATGAGTGGCGAATGATTTCATAGATCTACCTTGCTATGGGATTGAACTCATTGGAAAAAGCCAAACTCATACTAATCTCAGAATCATTGTTGTTGTTGTTACGTCCTGAGATCTCGGAGGCTAAACACTGGTTCAGTTCCACGGCCACGTGGCTCATGCTCGGCCTTCTGGTCGAACAAAGGTTCACGCAGTCCATCGCCACTTCGACCACTCTCCAGACCGAATCCGTTCTGAACTCTCCTCCCAGCCTCGGATCCATAATGTCCATGATTTCCCCTTTCTCGACCACGTTTTGGACCCATTCCGTAATATGCTGTCCCTCTCGCCTGTTGTCTATCACCGGCTGGTTCGTCAGTATCTCCAATAGAACTATCCCGAAACTGTACACATCGCTCTTCTCGGTTGGCCATCCCGTCATTCGGTACCTATGTACATTCCATATCAAACACAGAAAACAAAACCATGATGATGATTTTCTTTCAAACACATAAAAAAGATTAATCATATACACGGGAATGTACTAGTTGTATTGGAAACTCACTCGGGATCGACATATCCAGGCGTGCCTGCAAAAATCGTCGATGTATGCGTACTGCCCTCGGATCCGAAAGATCTCGACAGCCCAAAGTCGGCCACTTTTGCCTGAAAATCGGCGTCTAACAGAATGTTCGAAGTCTTTATGTCCCTGTGAACCATCGGCGGTGTACAACCATTGTGCAAATACTCCAACCCTGTTTTCATATAACGTCACGAGTCCATTTTATTTTACCATTAACACCCAAAGCTATGAATCTTGATTGTACCTTGCGCCGCTTCGGTAGCTATTTTCAATCTTGTCGTCCAACTCAACGCCTCGGTACGATGTTTTCCTGTACCAATGCATTTTTCAAGTCCTATGTACTTGTTTCGATTAGAAAATAGCCGAGTTTAACGGTAAGGTATATGACTGTACCCGACAACAGATTTTTCAGATCACCATGGGCCATGTACTCGTAGATGAGGGCCGATTGATCCCCTTCGTCGCAGTAGCCGACGAGGTGCACCAAATTCTTGTGGTGGACTCTTTGAAGAAGCTCAACCTAACGAAACCACGAAACCGTATCGATATTTGAATTTGTTAACAGATTGGCATATTGTATATATAGCCGTGAATACGATGTATGTATGTAACTGATCTCACCTCGGCTTCGAACTGCTTAAGACCTAGAACTGATGGCTCGGACAAAACCTTCACTGCGACTTGTTCAGTCTCATTCAAGAAACCGTGATACACGACACCGAATCCTCCTCTTCCGAGCACTTTGTCAAAGTTGTTTGTCATCCTTATGATATCGGTATAAGAAAATCTTCGTTCGATTTGAAACGATTTTTGGGTTTTGGACGCCGGAAGTGGACCTGCAAAAGGAAAGTTTTCGAAACTCCGACACGTTCTGTTTCTATATATAGAGGTACATCGACCCGATTCTTGAATCTCATCACGAGCGCATATATACATACATACCTCTCTTGGCCGTTGATCTCTTTCGATATGCGAAAAAGATTCCGAATAAGATTGCAGCTGCAAGCAACGGAACGATGGTTGCTACTATCGCTATAACAGATACATGCTTCTTATCTTTGTTGCGAATCTTGTTGACATCTGATTGATTGTCAAGATTTGGATTCCCTTGAGCACTAGAACATATCGATTCGAATAGTTAGCTCATAGAACTTGTTTTAGACATGGTAGCATAATCACGGCCCGGAAGATTCGTCTTACGATAGCCTTAGCGATCCATTCTTCATTCTATCAAGAAGGGCATCGGGGATTGGACCGTTAAGCATGTTGCCACTTAAGTCTCTGCTCACATAGACAAAAGAGCAAGTAAGTGTCCGAGATTAGAGATCGGACAACGAAATCAGAAACATCATCTTTCTTCTTCTGCTTATTCTTTAATTTCTTCGGGTTACTGTTGTAAAAGATAGCTTACACGAAAGACAGCGATCTCATTGCAGCGAGAAACTCGGGCACTCCTCCAGTCAGGCTATTATTCGACAAGTCCCTATAGCATTTCGTCAAGAACAACTTGAGCCATACTTTGAGTTCCCATTCACATGTTCAGAGGAAAATCCACGAGTAATCGATCCAAGAAAAGGGCTTACAGTTCTTTCAAAAGGGTCAGATTCTGAAACTCCGTCGATACGCTTCCTATAAGCCCACTAGAAGATAAGTTCCTGATTTTCGATACAGAAATTTACGAGGTCAGTATAAACATATGCTCATGAAATGATCAAAGCTCATGAAGGTGAGAAAGAAGAACTTGCAAGGAAGTGATTCGAGGTCGATTGTTGTTATCATAGATGCAGTTCAGGCCATCCCACAAGAACTCGATAGGCGAACAAGGGTCCCCTCGCCACGTTTTTCTGTTCAATCCATACACTTCCTTTATTCTCTTGATAGAATCAACTGCAGAAAAAGCAAAAACAATGTTGTCTTAACGACGAGTTATGTAATAACAGATGTATGAGTTACAATCCTATTCGTGTGAGAAAATTAGGAGATATGGCTTACTATCTTCCTGGACAGTTTCGAAATTCCGAAGATCGACGGCGGTGTACACCTCGCAAGCGTTGAGGAGTGGCGGACGAGTCGATCTTGAGGTCCTAACGAGCTGAATCGTGCAATGTCCTCCTGGACAGTCCTTGGGAAACTTCGAGGATATCGTTGTACTCCGCAATCTTAGAGGCGTAATAGGTCCATACCAAAGCGTGCCGTTCACCATAATGTTGAACTCTCTCGTCTCGTTCGGATTTAACTCTTCAATCTCGGAGAAATACAGGCTAAAATACATTATAGAACTCGGATCTTCAAACTGCCACCGAATAACTAAGGGCTCGCTCGAGTTCTTAGGTGTTGCAGCCGTTTGCATAACGCGTTCGGGGGGCTGGAGCTGGTCAGACGTGCTAACCGTGAGCGTGGTGTTCAACCAATTCCAAGAATTGGAATCAAAGTACGGATACCAAATTCGATCGTAAACATCATTCGGGAACCTGAGAGCAAGTGTAAGATGTACAAGGAGTTCACTCTCTAGCTAACGGTTTTCGATACGTCAATGCGTATATTTATCGAGACATAGCTTAGCATATTACCTCGTAAGCTTTGTCGTGCCATTGGATAAGTAGTTCCGTATGAACAGCGCGAGAGATCCGTCTTGACTCTTGTAGATATCCTTGCTCGTCGGCCGGAGCTGCAAGGTAGCTATGACAGGCGTTGTGTTCCCTGTCTTAACAAGACACACTTGCAAATTGTCCGATCTCGGTATATGAATGATCTCGTTTGTCTGGCCAGACTTTGATGCGTTAAGATCGACCGTGGTCCACTTGTTTGGTCCTATATACACATCGAAGATCGGCCACTCGCTCCGATTATCGTAGTTTCCGTACACAAATATGGCTCTGACCAAATACTTCTCCCCCTGAGTGGCGTTCAGGTTGTAACAGTTCCGCGTTCCTTCGGGAAAGCTCCTCACGTACCATAACCATTTCGAGGAATACGGCCTGTACCCGTTCTGGATCATTCCCGGGACTCCGCTGTCGACGAAATTAGCATCCGAAGTGTACGTTAATCCCGCGCTTCCGTCGCTGAAAGTGTTGTTCCCGGGCATCATCCCGCAAGCCAAGTTCAAGAACCCTGTGGATCTCTCACAAATCAAGAGAGGACAGAACATGTTAGAACTCGAAAACAAAAGTATACCGTAAGGATTATCCGCAAGCATATTTCTGTCGTATAATTTTAAGGAACAGACCTTGTGTTGTCTGCGAATGGACCGACTTGATCATCACCAAAGTAGCACTGAGAAGGATGAGCGTAAGGCAGAGTGGAATCTCCATGTTCAAGAATTTAAAATTGGCTCAAAGATTAAAAAAAAAACACACACACACTGGAGATCAGGGACGCCTTCATACACATGATGGTGATATATAGATGCATATATATATATATATATATATATATATATATGTGTGTGTATGAATGTATATATACATGTATGGAAGCACGTATGTACGTACATATACACTTTAAGACTCCATATATTAATGACCAAACAAGTGGTCCATCAAACGACATTGATAGTCTTTGGCACGACATGATATTCGACAACCCCTCCTGTTTTGTAAATTATAGGGAGAAAAATCTCTATGGCTTTGTTACATTATAATTCTTTTGCTTTTAATTGGTTTATGTAACCATAATATCATGCATGGATGTATTGCTAGTATAAATGCAACAATTCATTGAGTTTTTTTGCCTTAACATGTTACATGAATGACTTGAGAAAATCATAATCCATTAATGCTTTGTTTCCTTTTTGTTATATGCCTATGATAAAATATTTAGAATTAAAGTTTTGTTTAAAATGATAGGGTTTAGAATTAAAGAGGTTCGTGTGTATTTTTATTTGACAGTTTTGTACCGTTAAAATTTATGTATTTTTTTCTTCAATTTTATCGCAGTTAATGTAGTTTTATAGGATATATTTTATTTGAAATTGAAAATTATGTATGGTAATAGGCCGAAGCTTCGTCCGTGAATTCCGACCAAAGTCAGTCAATAGAGAGTCAACACGTTCTAACCTTTCCATTCCCCGTCTTAGACGCCACGTTTTCTCAATCACACATTCACTCGGTCGCGGTCGGACCAACTTGGCCAGGAAATTTCGCATTCAATTTTTTTTTTTTTGGAGGTCATTTCTATTATATATCACAAGAGTTATAAAATCCAAACATTTGTTTCTTTTACAAAAGATAATGAAACCTATGACTAAGTGGTAATGTTTGCAAAATAACGTGTTCATACCTCAAACGTCAAGTAATACCAAAATAGTAAGGTGCGACTTAGCCTGCTGAAACTTTCTCTTGATAGATAGAAAAAATAATACGAATGGTGGGATCAATCTTCCACCGTATATGTTCAACTGTTCTCTTATTCTCACGGAGGATGCGGCTATTTCTTTTCCGCCATAGCTTGTACACCGTCATTTGAAGTAGCGTCTTTATAAGATATTTTGTATCTCTCTCATCCATGGTTACAACATCATTAATCCAGTCTGCACTTTGGAATATGTTCGAGGGCGGGTTTCGCCGATATAATCCCACAAAATGCTCCCAAACTTGGCTGCTGTAGTTGCACTCAAAGAAGAGGTGTGTATGAGTTTCTTCTGTAGCTCCGCATAGTAACAACTTGTGTCCGTTGTAATGCTTAACGTCGTACCCTGTCCTTGGTCGATAATCTAGAAAGCATCAAGTGAGAAATGCATAGCGAGGTATGTTCTTAGAATACCACATAATGGAATACCAAAGAACGCCATCCTCCCGCCTCCACTATAAAAAAAAAAATCAACGATTTCTAACGTATTTATCGGTTGGAATTTTTTTTTAATGATTTTCAACAACGATTTTCGTTAAAAATTTCAATGGATTGCCATCGGAATTTTTTAACAGAATTTTCAAAGGATTCAATTGAAAATTTTGGTTTAAGATTTCCAACGGCATTTCCATCAGAAATCGGTTGGAAATTTTCAACGGAAATTTTCAATTGAATTCGTTGAAAATTCCGTTAAAAATTTCCGATGGCAATCCGTTGAAATTTTTAACGGAAATCATCGTTGAAAATCGTTAAAAAAAAATCCAACGGATAAATCCGTTAGAAATCGGTGATTTTTTTTGTAGTGGAGGGGGGAGGATGACGTTCCTTGGTATTCCATTATGTGGTATTCTAATAAATTTTCAACGGATGTCGATCGGAAACCAAACATAATTTGTTTTAAATTTGTTCTTATTTATTTTACTTATTTTTATGATTTATATAATCTTTTAAGTCATCAGTCCGATCAAACGAGGTTCTGATCCGTCTAGATTATCAGTTTGGCTCATGCTGAGATTGGTACTTACCCGGTCGTATCGTTTGATCCGAACTACGTATAGTCCGGTTTGAACCAAGTTTAGTCATATTTTTTTAAAATTTTGGTTTTAGTGTTAGACCAAGGCGATCTAATTTCTTGATCATCCATTCCATTATTTATTTATTCATTTTTTCTTTTCTTTTATTATTTATTATTTTTTTTCTTCTATTTTTCTTGCCATACCGGTCAGACTAGTTTCTGTCCAGTCCTTTTGTTATTTATTTATTTGTTTGTTTTTTAAAAATTATTTTTCTTACTTTTTTTTTTAGACTAGACCGGATCGGTGTGACAGGAGACCGTCAGTCCAAATTTTATCTTTATTCTCTTATTCAAATTTTTGTATTTCTTTTTTTGCAACTCTGGTCCGAATGGTCTAGAACCAGACCGATCCGACCCGGACGCATAAATTCACTAATTCATTCAAACCAACACCAAAATCCATGGACAATACATAAATATTTATAATCATTGCAACAACATGAATCAAACAACAAATTTGCACACTAATACACAAACTCTGAAGACAATAACAATTGAATTCTCAAATTAAATCCAAATTCACTCACTGGATTATGTCGGTTGTTTTTCGTGATGGTAGTTTTCTCCGGATGAGAATCCATTCCCTAATTTTTAATAGACATTTTGTTTTTACTATTTATACTCTCTCTCTCTCTTGTATATGCATATAATGGAGAAGAAGAGTCTCCCCTTTTATAGTGAGGTTTTTGAGATTTTTTTATAAATATTATTATTATTTTATTGGTGCAGCCCACATTTTTTTAATTTAAGATTAATTAATTTATTTTTTTATAGCGGGCGTTTGTCGGCCACTTATTTTTTTTAATTATTTTTTTTTTTGGTCGGTACAATCCTGTTAGGTCATTTTAGTTAACTTTTAAAAGCACATAAAAAAAAAACTTTTAACTACAAAACATCATTTAAAATATTAACCGTCATAAATTCAAACAAAACGTAGAAGTTTATAAACAAAATCTAAAGCTATAATTTTTATTAATTTATATATTTTCTATTCAATATAAAATATATTTAAAATGATAAATGATATTAAAAATAAAAAAAATTAATCAAACTCACATAAACCCAATTAACTCCTTTAATCTAATTACTTTATAAATGAACTTATACCATAAATATTTATACATAAAATTATTTATGATTATATGTCGATTTTTTTATATAATATTTCGTAATATATGATGTATATATCTATATATATGTGTATACATTTATCTTAGTTTAACATATGTAATGATAACCATTTGGGTTAAAACATTAAACCATTTAATAAAAATAACCAAATAAATTAACCATATACTATTATTGTTAGTTTGGATTAACCCATTTAGCTAATCCACCATGTATAGTATTTTAACATATTATTAGAACGATAATAATTTATGTAATTATATAAAAAAAAATGATTAAGAGAAATGTTATCGTTTTATTAAAAAAATAAAAGACAAAAAAATTGATTTATTTTCCAAGCATAGAACATTTATATCTCACCTTTCTTTTAGTAGTGTGTGTTGGCACATCTCCGGACAACCTTGGCCTTCCCATCATTTGGCATTTCTCATCTTGTGCAATTACCATTTTACCCTTAACACCTGCAAAACAAAAACAAAACGGATCCATCACTGTGACAGTATCATTTCCCCTTCCCAATAAAGAAGTGTGCAACATTAATAAAGCCCAAAAAGACAGGTTCTCTCCGGGTAAAGATCATGGGCCCATATTTTTGTTTTAAAAAAAATGTCAAAATTAGCTGGTTTAGACCGGTCAACTCCCAAAGGGTAAAGTCACGGCCCTGTTACGTTATCATCCCCTCGCCCCTGCCCGAGCTGCCCGTACCTGCCCGTTCGGCTCGACCATGTAACTAAGTTCGCGTTTCGATTTCCCACTTTAGTTTTTGCTGTTTCGTTTCCTTCTCATTCCCGTCTCCTTCGATCTCTCTCTACCCCGATCGATGTCTGTCCTGCTTCACGGATTTGTCTGTCTCTGAATCGATACGTCAGCGCGATTGTGTGGCTTCGCATGTTAATTGGGTGGATCTGCCTCTCGATTAGATCGGTGAATCGTTCTGGGTCGAACATCAAAACCCTAGAATTTGCGATTCGGTGTTCACGGATTAGGGATGATTTTTGGTGGATGAATGATTGAGGATTAGGGTTTTTGGTGGATTTAGGTGCTTGGGATTGGAGAGATTTGGCGTTGCAAGGGTTTTCGAATTCGCCACGCGGAAAAGGGGATAAGTTTGTGAAAGGAGGCTAGGATTGATGGTACTCGAAGGGGAAAATGCAAGGTGGCTATGCATGGGAGGGCATGTGAGGAGAGGAAAAAGGGACGGCACATGTGGAAAATTCCCTCGCGTGCAACTGCGAGTGTGAAAGCTATTGCTTCTTCTTCTTCTGCTACGTCTTCGACGCTTTTGCTGTCCTCGTCGCCTAACTCATTCTTCAAGGTAACCCTCCTGTAAATGAATTTACAGATTTCTTTGTTTTCGTTTTCTGGATCCTTTTGTTTTTTTATGGATATCGATAACGGGTTTTGCGAATTTGGTGGATTGGAGCTGTCGGATGGATAGGGGCAAATTGATGTCTTCCGGTTCTACTGATTTATTCGGTTTTCGTAGAAATTTTGTTGCTTTTGGAAGCTCGTTGAGGGAGGAATTGTGTCGAAGCTAGAGATACTTTGACTCAGGGAAGGTGTGAGCTACGGAGTTGTGTAGAATTGTGAGAGAATGGAGATGCAATGGCTAGAAGTTACTGTTTTAGCCACATCTTGATTTCATTCGATTTTCGAATCTTGCAAGTTGTAGTCCTTGGAGCTTCTTAAATTTGTGGCCTATTGCGCCCTTGCTTCTTGTTTGTGTTTGTTTTGCTGCCATGACTTGAGGATCCGGCTTCTATATTTTATGTGAGGAAGCTGTGGCAAGGCCTTTTGAGCGTCTGGTTTGGGAATTGCTCATGCGGAGTTTGGTCTGTTGCATAAGTAAAGTATTCTTAACAAACATCTGAGGTTCGGAGCAACAGTATTGGTAGATTTTAAAGGATATAATTGAAGGAATCTTGTGCGCAGCATGGTGGCTTCAACTAATGGACACAATTTAATCTCAAAGTGTTAATATTTTTGGAGTTTGGATTGAGGGAGAATATTGTAACAATGACTTCTGCTTGCCTTTAGGGTTTTTCGTAGTGGAACTATATTCAGTCATACATAAATAAGTTCTCCAAGTAGCTGAATATTAGTCGTCTGTCGGGGTGATGATCTCTACATTATTACTGCTTCGTCATTGTTCTGTTGGGTGATTCGGAAACTAAAAGATCTGTGGAACCTGTGCCTTTGATGTTTCACTGTGTATTACATGAACTGGAATCCCCAAAAAGATATTCTTCGACTGTTGTATATCCTCTTAAGTCTTAAATTGGAGGCATCATCAGTTTTCCTGAAAATGTATGTAGTTTAGCTAATTTGGATGAAATCATAGTTACATGACCTTTTGATATCCTTGGATACACTGTTCTGGAACTACTTTACATTGTTCCAAAATTTCAGATTATAGAATTGCAGCGGTAAAATATGCTTCCCGTAGCTGTTATATTGATACTGAGATATCTCTATGATTTCTGGAAGTTTTATTGTTTTCTTTGTTCCTTATTGCAGGACGGACGCAAAATCAGTGTTGGTGATTGTGCTTTGTTTAAACCACCACAGGACTGCCCACCATTCATTGGAATAATTCGTTCAGTAACTGCCATAAAAGTAAATCAGTGCTTAGGGAACAATGGACAGTCTAGAGATGCAGAAAAAACATCAACTGCCGTGTCCTCTCCTGCTGCATCCTTACTTCACCCGTGTAAAGTTGCTTTCCTTCCTAAAGGCGTTGAACTGCCACCAGGGATTTGCTCATTTGTGTGCTGGCGTGTTTATGACATCACACACAAGTGTTTATGGTGGCTGACAGATCAAGATTATATTGATGTGAGTTATACATTGTCTTTTAAATGGATCACATTTTCATTAGAATTTTTGCTTTGCTGTGGTGATGACTTTTCTTTTTGCAGGAACGACAAGAAGAAGTAGATCAGGTATTGTATAAGACACGTTTGGAAATGCATGCAACAGTACAGCAAGGTGGACGGTCACCGAAACCAATGAATGGCCCAACATCAACATCACAATTGAAGACAAGTTCTGATAGTGTACAGAATAGTGGCTCTTCCATTCCTTCCCAAGTGAAGGGGAAGAAGAGGGATCGTGTGGAGCAAGGTTCTGAGGCTGTTAAACGGGAACGTCCTGCGAGGGTTGAAGACGCTGATTCTGTTCACAGTAAATTGGAGAGTGCTTTAAGATCTGAAATTGTAAAGATTACGGAAAAGGGGGGCCTCGTGGATTCAGATGGGGTCGAAAAGTTAGTCCAACTCATGCTGCCTGAGAGGAGTGAAAGGAAAATAGACTTAGCAAACAGATCGATGCTTGCTGGTGTAGTTGCAGCTACTGAAAAGTTTGATTGTCTTAGCAGATTCGTCCAGCTGAGAGGACTTCCTGTGTTTGATGAATGGCTTCAGCAAGTGCACAAAGGGAAGATGGGTGATGGTAACAGTCCCAAGGATGGTGATAGATCAATCGAGGAGTTCTTATTAATCTTACTACGTGCTCTGGATAAGTTGCCTGTTAATCTCCATGCACTTCAGATGTGCAACATTGGGAAATCTGTTAATCATTTGAGATCACATAAGAATGTTGAGATTCAGAGGAAAGCGAGGAGTTTGGTTGACACGTGGAAAAAACGCGTTGAGGCTGAAATGGATGCTAAGTCAAGCTCTGGGCAGGGTGTTTCATGGCCTGCAAGGCCTCGTCTGCCTGACACTTCTCATGGAACCACAAAAACTTCAGTGTCACACCCCCGTTCTTCTAAATCTTCTTCAGTTAAGGTGGTCCAGGGGGAAAGTAATGTAAACTCCGCATCTCAATCCCCTGGTTCTACAAAGTCAGCCCTGTCACCTTCATCAGGTGGTACGAACATGAAAGAAGGACAGCAGAAAAGTTTTGGTGGTGCTGCTGTATCTGATGTTCCTCTGACATCTGCAAGGGATGAGAAAAGTAGTAGCTCCAGTCCATCTCACAACAATAGCCAGTCGTATTCGACTGATCATGCTAAATCTGGGGGTGCCTCAGGAACAGAGGATCCGAGGAGTCCCTCCACAGGATCACTGAATGCGAATAAGAGCTCAGGTGGCTCTCGGCATCGGAGATTGGTCAACAGTTTTCAGGGGTCTGCCCCATCAACAGGTCTTAGGGAGACTGGTTCAGTCAGAAATTCTTTACTGACAAAGAATTACTCAGCTTCAGATAAAGTGTTACAATCCAATTCAACATGTGAAAAGGCCCATGAAGTTCTGACAGCAGAAGGCAATGCTCATAAATTGATTGTCAAGATACCAAATCGAGGCCGCAGTCCTGCCCAAACCACTGGTACAACATCCGCTGAGGATGCTGCAGTGGTGAATAGCAGATCTTCTTCTCCTGTGCTTTCTGAGAAGAATGATCAAGTTGATCAGAATCTGAAGGAAACGACTGATATGCATAGAACAATTATTAGCTCTGATTTGCATGAGTCATGGCAAAGCAATGATAGCAAAGATGCACAAGCTGGGTCCGTCGAGGGTGGAGGTTCTCCATCTATTCCAAATGAAGTGCGATCTAGGACAGTAGATGACACGAGGAAACTGTCTGAAGTCCCAAAAGCAAATGCTCCAAATGTCCCAAAAGCAAGTTCGCCACATTCTGTGAATGAGCTAAAGCCAGGGAAACCGCATGAGAATCCTTTTTGCTCCATAAATGCTTTAATTGAAAGTTGTGTGAAGTACTCTGAGTCCAATGTACCTGTGGCAGCTGAAGATGATGTTGGAATGAATCTTCTTGCTAGCGTAGCAGCTGGTGAGATTTCTAAGTCTGATATGGACTCGCCAACTGGTTCACCTCAGACAAATGAAAACTTATGCATGGGAAATGATTCAAGACCGAATTTGTCATCAGATGATCTTGTTCATACTCTTCCCACTGACCTTGCAAAAATTGAAGATGAAAAGCAGGACTTTATTGGTGGTAATGTGTGGCCAAAAGAGGCTGAAGCTAAGGCACACTTGAATCCTATAGCTGTTATGGCCGGGAAATTGGATTCTTCTTCTGGGAAACAACCTGTAAATCAATGCTTAGAGAGTAATGGGGAGTCCAGAGAGGCAGTAAAAATGCCCACTTCTGCGTCCTCTGCAAATGAGATCAAGAATATGGATAATGATATGATCAAAGAGTCCGAAGGCACAAGAGTTGATGGCATCCTTGCTGATGTTTCAGATGCAAAGGGAAAATTGTCAGCTGATTCTAAAGTTGGCGACTCAGGTGCTAAAGTAGAGAGTGAAGTTGGCAACCCGAGTGTTAAAGTAGAGGGTGAAGTTGGCGACTTAGGTGTTAAAGCAGAGGATGAAGTTTCCTGCTCTCAGCCATTTTCAGAGAGCAACCAAAGCAATAAGGATGATCCAAAGCCACCAATTGTTAAGTCGATTTCCGAACTAGTCAGGGAAACAGATGACTCCACATTGCCATTTGGTTTTGGTAACTGTTTTGTCTCTGCCAATGCTAATGAGCTTAAAGCTGAGAAGGCTGATGAAATGGAGACAGACAGTCATCATGATCATACAAAGGGGCAGAAAGTCGAGGGAGAGTCTTCTGCTAGTGGGAACAAAATAGGGGCTGGTTTAGTTTCATCTGTAATGAATCATAAAGTTGAGCATGTAGGGGAGAATTTAGATGGTAATGAAGACAATGAGCAGCAGTCTGGTGTACGCTCTCCTCCGACAGTGTCCTCATTTACAGTGAAGGACAGAGGAGAACAGTGTGCGAAAGCAAAGGAATCTAGATTGAGCACTGCCGGGGAAGACGAGGTAGATGAGTCCACTTCTATGGCTGGAGACGCTTCTTCTTCTTCTGCTGCAGATAGAGATACAAAAGTTGAGTTTGATCTAAATGAAGGCTTCAGTGGAGATGATGGGAGGAATGGGGATCTCGGCAGCTTAACAGTAGCAGGAACATCAACACCTGTTCATTTTCCTATGCTGCTTCCTGCTTCAATAACAGTAGCTGCTGCTGCGAAGGGCCCCTTTGTTCCACCTGAAAACCTGTTGAGGAACAAAGGGGTGCATGGTTGGAAGGGTTCAGCTGCAACAAGTGCGTTTCGCCCAGCTGGGAAACCTCTCGAGGGACCATTCGGTGCAAATAATACTGCTCGGGTGGATGTTAATACTCGAAAACAAACTCGGCCTCCACTTGATATTGATTTGAATGTTCCAGATGAGAGAGTCCTAGAAGATTTGGTCACCCGAACTCCAGGTCAGACATCTGTATGTGATGCTGCAACTAATTCGTTACATGAACAGAAAATGAGTTCAGCTCCTGCTCGCTCTGGTGGACTTGATCTTGATTTGAACAGAGTTGATGAAACTGCAGATTTAGGAAATTACACTGGCAACAATCACAAATTTCAGCCGGTCAAACAGGTATTGAGTGATCGTATAACAGATGAAGCTGGTGGACTGAGGGACTTCGATCTGAATAATGGGCCTATGGCCGATGACGTGCATCCCGAACCATCAGTTATATTCAGTCAGCATTCTGCTAAAAGCAGTTTACCTTCCCAACCATTCCTTCCGGGAATACGAGTTAATGGTGCAGATATGGGAAACTTGTCATCATGGTTTCCCTCAGCCAGCTACTCAGTGACTATTCCTCCCACGGTTATGCCCGATAGAGAACAGCCTTTCCCGATGGTTGCAAGCGGTGGGCCGCAGAGACCGCTGGGTCCAACTACTGTTCCGTCCTTTAATCCAGATCTGTATAGAGGCCCAGTCCTGTCTTCTTCCCCAGCTGTTCCCTTTCAGTCTACAGCTCCGTTTCAGTATCCGGTCTTCCCCTTTGGTGCCAGTTTCCCTCTATCATCAGCCACTTTCTCTGGTGGTTCTGCTACATATGTGGACTCTTCATCTGTTGGAAGGCTTAGTTTTCCACCTGTTAACTCTCAACTGTTAGGGCCAGCTGTTGCTGTCTCATCCAACTATCCACGGCCTTACGTTGTGAACCTCACAGATGGGAATAACAGTGCCGGTGGTTCAGAACCCGGCAGAAAATGGTTCAGGCACGACTTGGACCTGAACACTGGCCCTGGAGTCCTAGACATGGAAGGAAGAAACGAAGCATCTTCTCTTGCACCCTCAAGGCCGATGTCCGCATCCAGTTCGCAGACCTTAAATAAGGAAGAACAAGCAAGGACACTTCAGATGCCCGGAGGTGTTCTAAAGAGGAAGGAGCCCGAGGGAGGATGGGACGGATATAAGCAATCTTCTTGGCATTGAAGTAATCCCGGTGAGTTCTCTATTCGGAGCATTCTGTTTATGTGATACCAACTCTCTCTTACTGCTGACTCTGATCCTTGCTTCTTCCAGTTCATCAGGGCTCATCCCTCGTCTGACATCATCCACAGCCACAGAGGAGGAAACAAGTGGTGAGTTACGTTGATGCTTAGCTCTTTACTATATATATATATATATATATATATATATGTTGTCTCTGAAGTCCCGACCTCTGTGTTAACTTTATTAGTAGTGAAAAGAGGATCTGTTCTGGTGCTCGTTCGCCCCTCCATAGATTTGTTATGGGTTACAGATCAGTTTCCCCTTTGTAGTTGCATTGACATTACAATTCAAAATCAGACCGCAGAGGTATCCAAGGTTCTTTGCAATATGCCATTGCCAGTAGGAGAATGCTACTCAGAAAAAAAAAAAAAAGCCCTTTTTCCCTCTGGAACAAGGGCTTTCATCGTCCGCTTTTTTTTTTCTGTGGTTAGATACAGATTGATGATGATGATGATGATGATGGGAGTTTTGATGTGTGTTAAAATAATTTTTTTTTAGGAGAATGGTTGGGTTCGCAAGCTCTGTTTGGTTCCATCTTCAAGTGCCCTTTGTGTATGGAGGATGTTGTTTTGTCTTTGAGCTCTGTTTCGTAGAAACTATATGGCTACTACCAATAATCGAACTTGAATAAAAATTTCAAAAAAACTTGTACGATAGATATCTACAAAGCCCATCATTGGAATATGCGAATAAACCAAAGTATTCATCACTTGAAATAATCCACTCGTAGATCTAACTAAATTTTCTAGAGGATTAGCGAACTCGCAGATCTAATTAAATCACTACCACATATACAAAGTCAACAATCCATAACAAAAAAAAAAAAGGAAAAAGATTAATACACATGCATTTACATTTTTTTTTGTAACGGTTGAACTCACCCACAACCCTTTGGGTGCGATGATAAACCAAGTACATATACACACATATATAAATATATATATATATATATATATATTCTAAAAAACTATTTAAGAATGGGATTGGGAATTAAATATCCAAAACATATGGGATGAAAGATAGATAGGAGGGCGCCATTTTCCCAAATTGAAAAAGAAAATGAGGAATATCCACCTGGAAAATAGTTGTTCTTTTAAATATCCACCAATTATTTCTCATCCACCTCTTTCTCACATACGGATCTTTCCATCCTTATCCCCCCACGTTTTTTTTTGTCATTTCATTACTAGATTTATCATTTCCCAACTAGAAAAGGAAAAACTAAACAAAAAATACCATAAAAATATTCTTTGGGAAATTATATTCTATATATTATATACCCAAAATTGTCTGAAGAAAAATCTATAAAATATTGTTAATGTAGTAAATTGTTACATGTATGTATTAAAAATATAGTAAATAAGCGTTTCCATTAATTAAAATACGTGTTTGCATACCTGGAATTAACGTTTAACTCAATACAAAAAATATAGACATTAATATTTGTATAAATATTTATGGTATAAGTTCATTTATAAAGTAATTAGATTAAAGGAGTTAATTGGGTTTATGTGAGTTTGATTAATTTTTTTTATTTTTAATATCATTTATCATTTTAAATATATTTTATATTGAATAGAAAATATATAAATTAATAAAAATTATAGTTTTAGATTTTGTTTATAAACTTCTACGTTTTGTTTGAATTTATGACGGTTGATATTTTAAATGATGTTTTGTAGTTAAAAGTTTTTTTTTATGTGCTTTTAAAAGTTAACTAAAATGACCTAACAGGATTGTACCGACCAAACCAATCCGGTTGAGTATGTTTTTAATTCGGTTGAATTCTCTCGGTGCAAATTAGTCCAATAAATAATACAGAAGTCATTGTTACAATATTCTCCCTCAATCCAAACTCCAAAAATATTAACACTTTGAGATTAAATTGTGTCCATTAGTTGAAGCCACCATGCTGCGCACAAGATTCCTTCAATTATATCCTTTAAAATCTACCAATACTGTTGCTCCGAACCTCAGATGTTTGTTAAGAATACTTTACTTATGCAACAGACCAAACTCCGCATGAGCAATTCCCAAACCAGACGCTCAAAAGGCCTTGCCACAGCTTCCTCACATAAAATATAGAAGCCGGATCCTCAAGTCATGGCAGCAAAACAAACACAAACAAGAAGCAAGGGCGCAATAGGCCACAAATTTAAGAAGCTCCAAGGACTACAACTTGCAAGATTCGAAAATCGAATGAAATCAAGATGTGGCTAAAACAGTAACTTCTAGCCATTGCATCTCCATTCTCTCACAATTCTACACAACTCCGTAGCTCACACCTTCCCTGAGTCAAAGTATCTCTAGCTTCGACACAATTCCTCCCTCAACGAGCTTCCAAAAGCAACAAAATTTCTACGAAAACCGAATAAATCAGTAGAACCGGAAGACATCAATTTGCCCCTATCCATCCGACAGCTCCAATCCACCAAATTCGCAAAACCCGTTATCGATATCCATAAAAAAACAAAAGGATCCAGAAAACGAAAACAAAGAAATCTGTAAATTCATTTACAGGAGGGTTACCTTGAAGAATGAGTTAGGCGACGAGGACAGCAAAAGCGTCGAAGACGTAGCAGAAGAAGAAGAAGCAATAGCTTTCACACTCGCAGTTGCACGCGAGGGAATTTTCCACATGTGCCGTCCCTTTTTCCTCTCCTCACATGCCCTCCCATGCATAGCCACCTTGCATTTTCCCCTTCGAGTACCATCAATCCTAGCCTCCTTTCACAAACTTATCCCCTTTTCCGCGTGGCGAATTCGAAAACCCTTGCAACGCCAAATCTCTCCAATCCCAAGCACCTAAATCCACCAAAAACCCTAATCCTCAATCATTCATCCACCAAAAATCATCCCTAATCCGTGAACACCGAATCGCAAATTCTAGGGTTTTGATGTTCGACCCAGAACGATTCACCGATCTAATCGAGAGGCAGATCCACCCAATTAACATGCGAAGCCACACAATCGCGCTGACGTATCGATTCAGAGACAGACAAATCCGTGAAGCAGGACAGACATCGATCGGGGTAGAGAGAGATCGAAGGAGACGGGAATGAGAAGGAAACGAAACAGCAAAAACTAAAGTGGGAAATCGAAACGCGAACTTAGTTACATGGTCGAGCCGAACGGGCAGGTACGGGCAGCTCGGGCAGGGGCGAGGGGATGATAACGTAACAGGGCCGTGACTTTACCCTTTGGGAGTTGACCGGTCTAAACCAGCTAATTTTGACATTTTTTTTAAAACAAAAATATGGGCCCATGATCTTTACCCGGAGAGAACCTGTCTTTTTGGGCTTTATTAATGTTGCACACTTCTTTATTGGGAAGGGGAAATGATACTGTCACAGTGATGGATCCGTTTTGTTTTTGTTTTGCAGGTGTTAAGGGTAAAATGGTAATTGCACAAGATGAGAAATGCCAAATGATGGGAAGGCCAAGGTTGTCCGGAGATGTGCCAACACACACTACTAAAAGAAAGGTGAGATATAAATGTTCTATGCTTGGAAAATAAATCAATTTTTTTGTCTTTTATTTTTTTAATAAAACGATAACATTTCTCTTAATCATTTTTTTTTATATAATTACATAAATTATTATCGTTCTAATAAATATGTTAAAATACTATACATGGTGGATTAGCTAAATGGGTTAATCCAAACTAACAATAATAGTATATGGTTAATTTATTTGGTTATTTTTATTAAATGGTTTAATGTTTTAACCCAAATGGTTATCATTACATATGTTAAACTAAGATAAATGTATACACATATATATAGATATATACATCATATATTACGAAATATTATATAAAAAAATCGACATATAATCATAAATAATTTTATGTATAAATATTTATGGTATAAGTTCATTTATAAAGTAATTAGATTAAAGGAGTTAATTGGGTTTATGTGAGTTTGATTAATTTTTTTTATTTTTAATATCATTTATCATTTTAAATATATTTTATATTGAATAGAAAATATATAAATTAATAAAAATTATAGCTTTAGATTTTGTTTATAAACTTCTACGTTTTGTTTGAATTTATGACGGTTGATATTTTAAATGATGTTTTGTAGTTAAAAGTTTTTTTTTATGTGCTTTTAAAAGTTAACTAAAATGACCTAACAGGATTGTACCGACCAAACCAATCCGGTTGAGTATGTTTTTAATTCGGTTGAATTCTCTCGGTGCAAATTAGTCCAATAAATAATAATAATAATAATAAATAAATAAATAAATAAATAGAAACCCAAATACAGAGATATGTTTTGTACAACCAGAATTTGCAGCTTAATATAACCTACAATATTCCAAGATTGAGAATGGTGGTACTATTTCAGTAGAATAAAACAAATTGCATATTTGATTGAATTTTTTACATGAATATCGTCTGATTAATAATATTCATTCCTTTCATATCAATTGATGAGATATAGAACAAAAAAAGAAAAATTAACTCATTTTTTTAAATGAAATAAATTGAAAATGAATGTTGCAAAAGAATATATTTTTTTACTTTGCCATAAAACAAAACCGCAACGCGTCGAACCAAGAGCCATATTTCCGAACTTTAGCCTAATTACATATCGAGTGAAAATAGAAAAGAACTTTAGGCCCACATTCTTTCTTTCTTTTTTTTTATAAAAAGGAAGAAGCCCTGTCCATTGCCCACTTTCGTTCTAGGGTTTTGTAGGAGCAGCCAGGAGACGATCTCTCTTAGATGTATTTTTGAATCTTAATATCGGGCGGCGGCGATGGTACAGAGAAGGGTTGCCGTCAGATCGGCTTCTGTTTCCAGGTTGATCCATACTCTAAGCACTGTCGTATATGTTGTTCCTCTGATTTCTGTCTGTCGAGATTTACTTCTTCCGGTTCTAGATTCAGCATTAATCTCTCATACCGGGAGAGTTTGAGATAACAACAATCTCGTTGATGCTGTTGATTTGTTCCATCGCGATGTTTCGTTCTCGTGCTCTCCCTTCGATCATCGTTTTCAATAGATTATTGAGTGCACTCGTCAAAATTAAACGGTATGGAGCTGTGATTTCGCTTTGCAAGTCAATTGAATTGCTTGGGGATCTGCGTGATGATTACTCTTTGTGAATGTTTTGTGTCACTCTAATTGATCATGCAATTGTCAACCCGATGTTGTCGCTTTCAATGGATTGATAATTTACAGATGGGTTTTGCACACAAGATCATTGATAGATGAGGCGGACCAAATGTTCAATTTTATGGTCACGAGGGGATTTAGTGTCATGATGTAACCATATAATTGAATATTTGTTCTGCTTCATCTAAGGTTTTGCTCGAGATGCAATGCCACGGTCAGTGTCCTAATCTTTTAGCATATACCCTTATGCTTTGATGGTCTGTGTAATAATTGAAAACTAGGAGAGAAATTGGGTTTTGTAAGTTTATGAGGCAATCACTGAATCTGGTTGGTCGTATGTTAGACATGGAACCTCGGCTCATGTAGGGTTTTCATTTCTACGGAAGCAGAGCAAGAGCACCTGCTTGTCTGTGTACACGGACATGGTTGGAGAAGATGGTGGAAGGAAAGACTCGTCATATTGGGGTTTTGGTGTAAACATGTTATGCTTTGGATTGTGTATTATATAATTTCATGGATTTCCTCGAATTTGGTTTATAAATTTTATCATGTCTTCAGTTTCTGGTTGTAGTTCTAATTAGAATTTCCCGAGCAATAAAATGCTAGTTTTATGTTTTTCTGGGATTTGGTTAGAATTGGTTTTTGAATTTTTTCTTTTTTAAATTATTATGATATATGTGATTGTACTTTGATCTTATCTAATAGATATAAATTTTATCTTATAGATATATTTTTGGTTAATAGTTTTCTAATTGGATTTTATTTATCTGTTTTTATATACAATGTTTTGGGATTGAATCGAGAAAAAAGCATTATTCTGCAATTCTTGACAATACACGCAAACTTGAAAGAATTTTCAAGAATTTTACAATTATTGTGATTTTAAAAAGATTAACAAATTCATGTATTTTTTTTTTATTAAATTGATGTTATTTTCCCCTTCTTTCTTTCCTTTTGCCTAATATAAATTCTAAAATATGATTTCCATATTTTTCAATCTCCTTGATTGTGTAGGAATCTATACGGCACTAATCCATCCCTCACCAACGATTCTCACTCAAACTCTTTGATTAATCAAAAAACCAATCCTCCTCTGCTCGATAACTCGCCATGGATGTCTCACGTAAAGGCATGTTTAACGCCGACGGCGATTATTCCGGCGAATCTCCGCCGTGGGAGGTGCTCTACCTCGTCGCCGGTTACATGGACGACAAAACCATAGCCATCGCTTCCTGTGTTTCCAAGACATGGAACCTCAGTTTCTCCTCGGACCAACTATGGCGGTCTCTCTGCGCGACCCGACATCCTTATCTCTCCGCCGTCAAGACAGCTTCTCCGGCGATCTCTTACACGCGTCTCTACTCCATCGCCGAGTCCGCCGCCAGACACCGCCACCTCGTGAAACGAGAGCCGAAGCCCAAGATCTCACTGTCGGATCTGACATTCGTCGCGCACGTGTGGGGTACCAACGTAAACACGACGGCGGTGAAACACGGCAAGGACATTATGGTTCCACCAGGCGGTCCGTTCTGGTTCAGCGTCGACGTTAACCATCATGATGGCTCGTCCGGAGACACAACGGAGGCGAAGGTGACGTGGAACGTGGTTTTCAGAGAATCGGAATCGGTCTTCACGATGGTCGATTGCGTCACGGAGCTGCCGATGATAACATTGTTTTCCCAGGATCTTCCGGCGCCGGAATACTGCCTATTCAGCAGCGGAAGCGGTTTAGCGGCGGTGGTCAAGATACAGTTAAACCATGATTGGATCAAGAGAATGGGTTTAGGGATACTGAATAGGGTCGACTCGAGGTATCTGAACGTGGACGAGGCTCTCAGATATCTCGAACGTTTTCTTCTCCCACAAGGCAGAGAGTGATCGGTTGCTTAGTGGTCAAGAAACTTTTTATGGCGGGGGAAATTTTTTTAAACTTCAAGGAACGAGAGATGGGTTTTAATTCATGTATTACATCAAAATTGACGACTTGTAAAAAAAAAAATGTTTGAACGCGTTTTCTTTAGGGTATTGATTTGGGATGAATTTTTTATTTGGGGAATACATTAGATAAATTTAAAAAAAAACTTCTACTTCAAACCTTATATCATAAACTATATAAATTGTTTCGAATCAATCTTTCACTTTAAATTTTGTTATAAAAATCATCTAACTATTATTTAGTCATCATCTATCTAAATTACTCAAAAACAAATATAATGTTTTACATTTATACATACATACATACATACATACATACATACATACATACATACATACATACATACATAGGACACGATCATTGTAAGTGGAAGAAGTGAAAGTGGCAAAAACGTGTCGGATCCATAATTTCGGTAGGACCCATTTCGGTATTAGGACAAGTGGACTTTCCGTTTTTGCTACGAACGAATTTCGTCCATATGGAATGGACCCATTGGTTTAAGTTAGGTGGTGGTTTAGGCTCCTTAGGGGATTCAATTCTCCAACTACCCCTTTCTTTATTTTTTCTTCAATAAAAAAATATTGCTCAAATGCAATAAAAAATCATCTGGATCGTATATTTTTTTGGACTTTTAAAATCTTTTTTTTATAGAATAAATGGTTTAAAAACTCTTTAATTTTATTGTACGCATTTTTCAAAATATTTTGATTTTTTTAAAACTGTTTGGTTTTACTCTCCCTATTCTCTCACACATTCTCTTCTTTCATCTTCTTCCTCTAGCAATATGAAGCATAGATTAATTACGGTTATAATTGTAGTTTTAAATTTTTATTGGCAATTAGATATGAAGCATAGATTAATCTTAAGAACCGGAAAACCTATGTCAATGTTCTTCCCCGAATTTGAAGGTGAGTTTTTTTAATTCTTGTTCACAAATTTTGTGGATTTATATTATATATATCGAAATGACCCAATAAACTTTGGTGTTATTTGAAAAATATAGGAAATGAGTGGTGGTGGTGCAACCGGGAAATAAATGATCGGTGCCCCATCCACAGTTTTTCACTTGAGGATTGTTTTTCAAAGTATTTTTTTTTGATAATGCATCTAAATTCTTTTGTTTTTTGTAAGATTTCCCTAATAAAATTTCTATCTTATAAAAGTCTTTATCTTAATCTAATTTATATATAATTTTGTAGATCTATTTTAAGTAATATATCTAAATATTTAGTGTCCTATATATAAATAAATTTCAAATTAAATATTATCTAAAATCAAGTAAACGATTTATAAAAAAACTAAACAAGAAAAAAAAATATAAATTAAAATGTTAAAAATTCATCATTTTATAAGCTATCAAATTTTATTGGCAGAGTATCGAATATTTTCATCATCTTCAACATCTTTTTATTACCCAAAAAAATGTATAAGATTGATCCAAATTAAATCAACCAATATGACTGAAAATCCATTGATTTTGAAATCGAATTGGACTGATAAAGAATACTATGAGTTCAAATAGAAAAAAAATTTAATGATTCTACTCCTTAATATATTTAAAAATATAATATTATGTTAACATTATATGAGTTGTAACTAAAATGATTATCTGATCTGATGTAAGGTAATCTCTAACTTTTTAATATCCACAATAATTATTTACATCGATATGGTTTCGAAAATTGTTAAAACCTTAGTTTGATGGGCTTGGCGTTGGGCCTTTGGCCCAAATTTTGGGCGTTTCGTTTGTCATCATTGAGTCCTTCTAATCCAGCCAGAGGTTTCCCTCTTGACTCTTGAGAGCTCAACAAAGAAGCAACCTTAAATTCTGTTTCCTCGACACGAAGATCCGAACTAGAAGATATCTCACAAAGATCAGACGATAGAGGATTCGTCTCTTTGGATTCTGGTTTTTTGGAGATGAAGAGGATGAGTTTCTTAGGAATCGACATGAGCTGCGCTATTGGATCTCTCCGGAACGGTGAGTTCCCGGAGAAAGATTGTCTTCTTCCTCTCATGTCCAAGCTTCTCGGCTATTGTCTCGTCGCCGCTTCCACCACCGTCAAGCTCCCACAGGTTCCACGCTTCATAACCCTAATACCCATTTCCATAATCCTTTGCTGTTCTTATTATGGTGGGTAAGGGAGGATAGTTGTTCCTTTCCTCTCTTCAGATCGGTCAATTGTTGCAGGGTTTGGTTTGATTTCGTTTAGGGATATAGTGTAGTGAAGTTGTTTTGGATCGTATGACAGCGATGGGTGAAATTTATGGATTGTAGATTATGAAAATTCTGCACCATAAGAGTGTAAGAGGGCTTAGTGTTGTGGCGTTTGAGCTCGAGGTGGTCGGCTATACGATTTCTTTGGCGTATTGTCTGCACAAAGGGCTTCCCTTTTCGGCTTTTGGCGAAATGGCCTTTCTTTTGATACAAGGTGGGTTTCCCTAAACCCGTTAATGTGTTTTACAAGATCATGCAAATGTTGTTAAATCTCCATCACTTCGAACTATTTGATTGGTAAATCAGGAATGACCCTTCAAGTTTGCATCAGAAAGTAATCTTATAATGCATTTTCCAGAGGCTTGCAATTCGGGAATTCAGATCTCAAGTTGCCGAAATATCTAAAATTTCCTTGTTTCTGCTTTTGTCTGTTGCAGCGATAATCTTGGTTTCTTGCATCTACTATTTCTCCCAACCGGTTCCTGTAACGACGTGGATCCGGGCTCTCCTGTATCCATTTTTAAGCTTTGCTTAGATTTTACCCGTTACAGTTTTTGAAGCTTCAATCAGATATAAGAATGGCTAGTTCTGTGATCTTTTCATTCCTTGAGTTTCCTTATTATTGTGTCTGACGCAGATATTGTGCTGTAGCACCGACCATACTTGCTGGTCAGATCGACCCTTTTCTGTTCGAGGCGCTTTACGTGAGTAGGAACGGCTTTTCTGTTGATCCTATTTCTTATTTGGAAGTTTTTGTCGGGTGTTCATTCATCTAATAGTTAGACTGTTACGGTTTGTAGGCTTCACAGCATGCGGTGTTTTTGTTCGCGAGGCTCCCTCAGATATGGAAGAACTTCAGAGTGAGTTTGTACTTTTCGCCCGGTTTAGGATTAGAGGAATTTGATCATCAGCTTTGATTTCATGATCTAATATATGGTTGGACTATAAATTTCCTTGGTTATAAATTTTTTAACTTTCTGCCACAGAAATATTGATTTCGGACCCGTATATCATGTGTCAGGATTCGTTGTCTAATGTTTTATTGCTCTGATGTGATGTGAATCTCTCTATACAGAACAAAAGCACCGGGGAGCTCAGTTTCTTAACATCATTCATGAACTTTGGTGGTTCCATGGGTAAAGACCCGGATGTATCTAACACCATCTTTGTTTGATTCTCCATTGCAACATACAATGGTTTCCATCTCATATCTCATCATTTTCCATTGCAGTGAGAGTCTTTACCAGCATCCAGGAAAATGCCCCGATTAGCGGTATCCTTTTCTTTTAACTTGCATTCCCCGTTATTGTTATGCGGATTTAAATGTTGCAGTTTCGTGAACTGAATTGAACTCCTCAACTTTTTTGTAGTGACTATGGGTTCGGTTCTTGGAGTTTTGACCAACGGGACGATCCTGAGTCAGATCGTCTTGTACCAGAAACCCGTTGCCCCGAAAGAGAAGAAGGTTGAGTGAAAAGGTAAAGATGCGATAGAACCCGTTACCGCTTTACTTGTTAAACGCCGGGCAGAGGTTTCAAGAGGATTACGAGGGCGGTGTTATATCTCGACGGTCCATAATCGTTGCTATCTCATTTCACTTACACTTTCAAGTTCATACAAATAGTGAAGAACTTAGGATCTGGAAATCAAGATATTGTATGATCCTTGTTGAAAAGTCGGAACTTTGCCCTACTCCAATCATTTCATCTACACTGCTTTATTAATATGGATAGGCTCAATCTTAAACCTAAACCTAACAAATGTTCATGAATGTTTCAACAAATGAGAACATTGGAGAATCCGAATCTTGGTATGAAACCTGATATATATTTTCTAAAATCTGATTTTAACAATTCATGAATCAATACGAAACCGCAGCAATCAGACCACACAGAATACATAGAAAAGTGCTTGAATGTAAACAGAGAATGGTTCCATATTTGGGGGTTCGCTTGTCTAGTCGTTCCGGTAGCCGCTATTGCGACTTCCCCATCTACTCAGTGTGCAAGCTACTAAGTTTCTCCGGCTCAGGAACCCTAATCTTGACTTGAACGAGGCTGACCGGCTCGTACTGGCGGATGCTGTGGCAGGGGCCAGGACTTGAACCCGTGGTAGAGGAGGGAACTCCATGCCGTTCTCTTGTGCTCCACCATCACTGGCACTAGCCTCTTGATTTTCTGGCTCGTGGGTATCTAAATTCACGGCAAGCGACGCCCTTCTCCCCTTTAACCATTCAGCGCCTTCGACGGTCACTCCTCTACACTTCTTGACCTTCACCTTCACCAAGTTGGGACATCCAACGGCGAGAGCTTCCATCCCTTCATCTGTGATCGGGCAGTTTTTAATGCAAAGCTTCCTCAATGCCAAGCATTTTTCAGCAATACAACATAGCTCGGGGTCACCGACAGTGTCACTTCCACACAATGCTAATCGTTCTAAGTTCTGGCAATTCAAGGCAAGTGCTTCCAAACTCAACTTCGAAGGATTCACCCCTATCAGAACCAATTCCAGTAAATTCCAGCAGGATTTGGCAACGGCTATAAGCCCTTCATCGCCAATCCGATTGGCCTTCCATCCATCAATGTGAAGCTTTCTTAGAAGCTTACAACGTTCAGCCAACGTAATCAGGCCAATATTCGTGCAATCAGGGGTTTTCACAAGGTGCAGAATCTCGATATCCGAGAAATTCGATATGGCAGTGAGACCCAGATCGCTCACCTGAATCCTCTCGAGATGAATCTCAACGATCCCAGTAACCTGTTTTGCCACAGCCTCAAGAACCCTATCCCAGTCACCAGAACACCTGAAAATCTTCAAAGACCTAAGATGTTTAGCTCCGACTAACAGAGGGGCAAAGCACTGACCGTTATAGAGCTCCTTCAAGCAAATCGTCTTTAGTGAAATAAAGGGAGAAAGTACCCGCAAGAACCATTACGAAGTAACTGAAACAATTCCACTATCATTAGCCCACGGAACCCATCTGCAGAACCCGGTGCTTCACTCAGGAGAGTCAGATCGGGGAAGTGGAACGCATGCAATTAACCAATTGAAACCTAAATGGCTCCGCCGCAGCTCCGTCGGTGATGCCACGAAGTCGCTTCACCGACAGCTCCTCCAGAGCCGGACATTTGTCGAGCACGGCGTTCATGCCTTTGGCTCCAAACGCGCAGGATCCACACGAGAGCTTCTTCAAGCCCTTGCAATTCTCCGCGAAGGCCGCCATACCGGCATCAGATACATCCCGACACGCGCGTAGCTTGAGCCGCGTCAGATTCGGACACCTTTCGGAGATCTTCACGAGCGCCTCATCTCCGATGCTCGGAGATCTACGGTCGCACTTCAGAGCGAGTTTGGTGACGGCATCGAAGCGCGAGAACAGCGACGGGATCACGAGGAGAAGATCTGACTGCGCGTTGAGCGAGAGACGGTGACGGCTCTGTCCCTCGATCCTCAACCACCGACGGCAGACTAGCGAGCACCGTTTCCGGTCGCCGGAGCTCAGCAAATGGAAAATGCACGCCAAGCACTCTTCCGGCAAGTCGGAGATGTAATCGTACGGATCATCGGCGACGGCTGCAGTGGAGGAGTTCTCTTCTTCCCCCTCGTCTTCTTCTTCCCCTTCATCGGCGACCACTGGAGAGATCACGGCCGTGGAATTAGACGGAGCTTTACACCGGCGGCGGCAGAGAGCGGAGACCACCGAAACTGATTGGCCCATTCCGCCGGAGAATCGAAGGTTGAGATGCGACGGTGTATGATTCTTATCCTATGGAGCGTCGTACTGAAGCTCCTGAGAACTTCGCAACATCAGAGACCTAATCGAACCTAAAAAGACGCGTCATTTCACGTGGTCATCGCAGACGACCGCCACTCATCATTGGTCAAGATTATCTCCAGAAAAAGCTAAATCAAATCAACGGTTATTCATCGAGGGTCCACGGAGTTCCCATGCTCCTGTCCGCTTCAAATCAAAATCCCCCCAATGCTGCTATTTATACCATCGAGACAAATCTCGGCTTACCTGGGATGATTATACCTCGAAAATCCGAGTTTATGTATTAAATATGATTATTTGTTTGCGTCAGAGCGCATAAGATAACGTTGTAAACATAAGAAAACAAAATCATGTTAGAAAAAAAAAACGAAGCCTATATATCAAAGTAATATATTCAAATTCAAAATTGCAATCATATGCTAAGATTTTATAAAATAAAAAAATACCCAAGGGCCATAATATAATAAATAGTAAATATGAAAGGTTCTACAAATTCATGTTTTTCGAATATCAAACCCAATTTCTCAAACAAGTCAAATATTTTAAAATTCTGTTTTTTTTTATCAGGTATAATAATATATAATTCTTTACATGACTATGACCAGCAAAAATGGCATCACAAAAAGTATAGGATTTGGCGTTTCAGATCGATTCTTTCGAACTAGACCAAACCGAGTTTTCGAACCGAACAAATTCTGACTGTTCGAATTTTTTGAAATAAAATATAACCGAATTGAATATTAAAAAATTCTGAAAAATCAAAATTTTATTAATATTTCTCAATAAAATACAAAAATCGAAACAAACTGAATATAATAACCGAGTGATACATATTTTTTCTAGAACCGAATAATCTAAACCATCAAACCGATCAAAAACTAAACCGAATTCGAAACGAATACCAAAACGTCCATTCTAACAAAAACCGACCAGAATTGTTTGCCGTGCAGAGAGAAACCATCATGGGCCAGTGGCCCAACTTCCACTTTTTCGTAACCATGCCCCCCCCCCCCCCCCCCACCACAATTGTTTGCCGTGCAGAGAGAAACCATCATGGGCCAGTGGCCCAACTTCCACTTTTTCGTAACCATGCCCCCCTCCCCCCCGGCACACATCATGATAACCCATTTTCGAACAGGCACGTTACCTAAGATAAAAGCATATAGTATTATTCGTATTTGAATTTTTTTTAACAAGGTACTTTTCAATGGATATCGATTTGTAAATTTTCCAGAAATTTATGAATTCGAATTATATTCTTGAAATTTCGTATGTATATAATTATACTCTTGTAAGAAGTTATTGGTAAAATCAGATTTTACCAAATTACTCGGGTGAAACAGATGCCAAAACAAGATTGTTAGACCAAATTCTAAATGAACAGTTTTAGAAGTTCTGAAAGTATAGCATGATCTCAGACTTTGCTCATACGTACAAGTTGATGACGATTCAACTATATATATCTAGAAAATAATTTAAATGGGGTAACTTAATTTTATTGTATTATAAATATAAATTTTATAAAGAAATTATTATTTTTAATCAAACAAATGGGGTGTATACTCCATGTATACATATCCGATTAATTGGAGTATATATGTATGATATTGGTAAAATTGGATAACATCACGTATAAACATATATATGATATTTAGGGGTCTCAATAAAACTCGAACCCCGAAGTCCGGTCAGAAACCCGTCCGAAAAATTAAGGGTTTAGGTTTAATAATATAGACCCGGGTTGATCCGAAAAAATTAAGGTCCGAATTGAGTTCGGTCTGAAACCGTCTGACCCATCCATTTAACTCGAAAAAATATTAGATAATTAAATTTTTCTACTTCTACTCGAAATCTCATATCACATAATATTAAATAAAGACTTTTATTTGTATGTTTCATATATATATATATATATTTATATTTCAAAACAATTTGGTTAATGTATGTACTAAAATTGTTCAATAATTAATATATATATATATATATTATTGAACAATTTGATTAGATTTTGGTTTGATTTTTTATATATATAAATGTTTTATGAGTTTAACTTTGATTTTTAAATTTCATCTCAATGTACTTTCTATACTTTTTTATTGTACTGAATATCTTTTTTATATATTACATATATTAAAAATATTAAATAATTTATATATTTTAAAATTTACATGATCATTTTTTTAGATTTAAAATTTTTTAATTTTAATTGATACGAAAAATAATTTGCTATTGTTGATTATTTTTTAAAAATTGCTAAATAATTCAACATTATTGTTATCATTATTATTATTATACACTAATATTTATTTTTTATTAAATAGAAAAACCTGAAACCCGATCCGAACCCGTTCGAAACTCTATAGAGCCGGACTTCGAGCAACGATTATAAACCCGAATAATAAATGAGTGGGCCGACCCGACCCAAAAATATCTAAGTGTGAACTAAATCTCACCCGAATCCGGTCCGCCCCGCCCATTTTGCACCCCTAATGATATAGGTGTACCAATTACCAAAGCATCGGATTGTTACCAAAACATATATACTAAGGGTGGGCAATTCGGTTCGGGAATCTAGTCCCGAGCCGTACCAAACCAATTAATTCAGTTTTGGTTCGGTTCGGTTCGATATTATATAAAAATACCGAACAGTAAGAAATTTGAAGTACCGAACGGTTCGTAAACGGTTTGGTTTGGTTCAAAAAATACCGAACGGTATTTTGATATTTTTATTTTTTAATTAAAAAATATTTAATATTAATAGTTAATTATGATAATATTTACTAATATTACGAATTTGTTTGAGATCAATGTTAAATTTTTTTCAAGTTTACAAATTCAAAACTTTTATTTTGTTGTATAAAATTATTATGTTGGATCTCTTTACTTTTATATTATATGAATTATAAATATGTTACAAACCGTTCCGAACCGTTCTAAACCGTTTTTATTTCGGTTCTTATTTGGTACTTATTTATTAGTATCGTATCGTCCCGAACTGTCATAATACCGAACCGAACCAAACTAAATAATATACAGTACTAATTTGGTATAAATTTTATAATACCGAATAAACTATTCCCGAACCGAACCGATAAAATTCCAAACCGAATTCCGAAACGTCTATCCCTAATATATATGAGTGGTGGTGAGTACATTTCGGTAACATGGGAAGCTGCTACTCGGTTCAGAGACTTATGAAGGGGCAAAGGAGTAATTTGGCGGAAGGTTGTTAAGCTGTTAGTTATTAGTCACGAGCCAAGCACGTGATCGTCTTTTTTACTCCTTTAAAAGGGGGAAGAGCCCTGTGTGTAGCAGAGGTTAGGGCTGAGTATTTAAATTCGTTATCCGTGGGTAAGCGGGTATCCGGTCTTGTGGTACCCAAAAAACGGGTACTCGACACATAACAAAGACAAAAACGAGTATTAAAAACTAGAATATCTGTCATACGGGTTCAGGTTCAGGTTTTATATATTGAAATAACGGGTACCCACGGTACCGCATATATATTAAAATTACAAAATTAACCTTATGTTTTTAATATAATTTAAAAAATATTTAGGTTATTTTACTTAATTTTAGGATTATATATTGGATTTTCAAGTTTTGATAGATTCAACTTCAAATCATTGTATATTTTTAAAATGTTTCTAGGATTCTATGCATATTATTATATTTTAAGAATTTTCAAACTTAAAAATGTATTTTTAGAATAAAATATGTATATTTTTTATTGATTATTTAATTTAATTTTATATTATTTAATATTTTATATACGGGTACGGGTATTCGTGGGTACCCGTCTTTTAGTTATGAGTACCCATTGGACGGGTACACATAATCCCATATATTGTGAGATAGAGACAGATAGCATTTCTCTAAAATCCACGAAGACAAACGAAGACAGATATCTCCAAAAAACGTGGGTACCCGACCCGTGTCCAGCCTTAACAGAGGTAAATGCAGAAATCTCTTCATGTATTTGAGCTTCTTCTTCGTTAAACAAACTTAGAGTAACATAATACGATAACTGGAATGGGCAACAAGAAATCACAAAGGCATCTGCCGAGGGAA